CCTATCAGCTTGTCTTCCAGCCAAGCGTGCTCGAGATCGGCCATAGATATAGACGGGGGAATTCGATTGTTCTGCCGACGAAAGGGAATGGCGGGAATCGCCTTAGCACACTTCTCACGTCCCGCGACGAAGTGAGAGAAGCACTTTAATAAACGGACGACACGGCGGCCCGCCGTGATCGGTTATTAATTCAATTAACAGCACCACAAAAGACCGGCGTGTTGTGGAAGTACGTATCGTACTATCGCGTTTCGTCTGGCGAATATGTGAGAGGTTCCGGCTAGGCGCCCCGTGCGCCAGGCCACCACAAGCCCGTCGGAACTGTAAAGGCCCCTAAGGCCAACAGTGGCTCATCCAGCCCAAAAAAAAAAAAGAATATGTGAATCAGGCGAATAGATTAGCTACGCATCTGCAACTTAGTTATAGATGTCCATCCATAGAACCGCCTGCTCGCTTGCCAACTTATCACATAAAAAACTCTCGGTCCTGTTACTGCAACGGCGTCTTACTTCCTTTTGAGCAGCTTTCTCGAGCAAGCTGAGAAAATTTCTGAAGGTATTTTAAGCATGGCGAGGAATCTTAACGGCTAGACGCACATCTGAGCAAACACGTCCACGTCCTTTGACCCTATTGGGGTAAACGAATATATTTCATGCTGTCATCGTCTTCAGTGATAGTAAGTACCCTTATCGAATGTTATAAAGTAAGTTTGCAAGTCTAAAATCGTAAAAACATACTTATCTGAAACTGCACGCCACTGATAGTACAATATTTTAAATTCTAAAATATGGAAAAATTGCTATGCAGAGAGTTGATGTGGCTGATCTTTATCCTTTCCTCTTTTCCTGATATAAGAGGGGCTTCTGATAGAATCCCGCAGTTTAAAAAATAAACATATGCAATCACGTGAAAATAGGTAGTAAAGGACAAATATAATAAAACAGACAAATAAATAACTTATGAACTTACCGATTCTTAACAGATATGTACCGCATTAATAAACGACCATTATTAAACCAATAATTGTACATAGACGTTTCTGAAATATTACGGTTTTATTTTATGAGCTACCCCATTTTTTTAAACTACCCAAACAAAATTTAATCTTTAAACAATCGATCTAAGTACAGTTCTGCGTAAGACGTGTCTATAGCATGATTCAGACACTTCTCATTTGCAATCCAACAGCGTTTTATAATAGGAACATTAACGACTACGCCTCATAGTTAAAGCACGTGTATAGAATACGGCAAGGGTAAGCCCCAGTTATCAGATGTTGAAAACTTTGTACAGAAACTCGGCGATTACTTGCAAATATCGATAATGATAGTTCTGCCCTTTAGTTTTAAACCTACCAATTTAAACAATTCCAAGATCCAATTCTAGCAATCTGCTTCGAATTTGGATGTGCTAAATAAGTGTGCGATTTTCTAAATTTAAATAATTCTAACTTCTCCATAGTTTTTGGGGAATTAAATTCTTCTTCCTGCCGATCATTAGAATTAGCCAAGCCATGGATGACAATTGTGATTGGTTTGGGAGTGTCTCTGGCAACCCTAACACGATGAATCACAACACATCGACATTATCACTCCTAGCGGTGACCTACACGCTTCCTCCATAAAAAATCGATTTGGAAAACAATGAACGAAGGACGATCGTGTCTAGGATCCGTCATTGTAAATTCAATAGACAGCCGAACTCGAGTATTACCGGTCGCACGCAATGTGTAACGTTTTTTTGTTCATTTCTGTTATGTGATTGTGATCGAAATGAAAATGAGCACATTTCTATTTGAAGTTATGGCCGTTTATTATACATTAGGCACTTTAGGACATTTAAATATTAATGATAGTGCAATACGAGGAAAGTTAAATGTAGTATATTAAATCGAAATGAAAATAAGTACGAGAGAATAGGATAGATACAGTTGTCCCTAACTGCTTTTCGCCCACTTGTTTTCCAATTTGACAGCTGATAAGGCCATCACTGTAAACACAGTAATAAGCACCTCATGTAGATTCAGATGAGAGTTCAAATCGCAAACGGTGTTCCGTCCCATTAGATGTCACTATGTGTCTTTCTGTCGTTACATTAATACTCCGCCCCCGATTATTGATATCGTATCATTATTTGGTGCAGTTGTTAAGCGAATGGCTTCAACTCCGGGGGTCGTGGGCTCAGCTCCCACAGATAATTGTTCAGGATTTGAGTTCTCGTGGAGAATTGACGTCAGGCAGGCTTTAAGTTGTGAAAAACCTAGCCAAAACCACTTGAAACAGGAACTGGGCAAATTTCAGCCAAGAAGAAGGAGGATACTGATGTTTTTCTATGCGAGAAGGTGGCAAACGAGCTGGCGATTCACCCGATGTTAATTGCCACCCATTGACATTTGGAACCCCCTAGGTTTGCAGATGCGTTTCCATCTATTAATAAAGTGCGCTCCGGTAACCTCACTAACCAGATGAAACGCATAAGTACGACACATCCACTTGACGCCGTTCTTGTGTTAGGTCGTGGTACTGCCCATTCGTGCAACAGAGAAGACTGTTACACGGCCACAGTAAGTACACAGGATGATCATGATTACATGTATCGTGAGCAATAATATCAAACATGGTGCAACGGTCACACGGCTTCTTATATCTCACTGCTTAGTTGAATATTTACCCGATTTCCTGAGGCTACACGAGCATCACAATGAAGTATAGACGTGACGAACCTTGGCTCAGTCTTCCATGTCGGCGTGGGAAGGTACCTACCTCCATTAAAAGCGAGCCTTACATGGCGCACACGCCTCGGGAAGTAGTTATGACGAATTATGTCTTTCACTTTACGACGCGGAGATTATCATTGCCATTAGTGTCGCTAAAGTAATCGCTTGCGATTCGGTCCTGGCACTTTATTTAAATTTGACTTCACTTGTTTTTCTTTTTTCATTCCATTTTTTGAATTCTGATTTTCTTTCATTTATTTATCCCGAATAAGTTAAAATAAAACCACAAGAAAGTGGGCTAAAGATGTTTGCCGCGTGCACCCAACCCTAGCCGTCCGGTCGCGGACGGAGGTCGCGGCTGGCGACCTCCGCGGTCCCTATACGGCATAATCTAATGGGCCGTTGCTCCCGGGCCGTGGAAAAAAAACCCGTGCTCCGGTACGGGTTCGTGGTGGATCGCCGGCCCGCCTCGCAATTTACTCAGCTCGAGTGAAATCGCAGTTCGCCCGTGGCGTCCCCCTTTATACGTCCAACGGCACGTTGGACAGGACGTAGCGGCGGTAAGTAATTGCGGGGAGTATATTGAATCACTTGGTCGTTTTGCTCGCGGACTCGGTAATGGTAGGTGTTTGGGATGAGGAAATTACTAGTGTATTTTTAATTGCAGAGCGGGCAAAGGTTGCGGCGGAATTTACCGCCGACTTGACTTTGTATGTTCAGTGAGCTTTAACTGGACGCACAAAGCGATTGAGTCCCAAGACGAAACGGGCATGGTCAGGCACTTTTCGAGGAAAAAAATTCAATTCTTGAAGTAGTAAAACATCGTTGATAGCTAGAAAGCACATTTGTCTTGTTGGTAGAAGCAAAAAATCAATAAGTTTATCGCAAAGACTAACTAAAAGTTATCTACTGTTTTAATTAGTCATTTTTCGTACAGACAATGCACGCTTATTTATTGGACTGTTTGAAAATTAACTGCAATTAGAATAAAAAGATTATTTAATTTTAAAATTATACTCAAACATGTTTTGTAATGCTTGTTAACAAAATCATATTAAGCTTAGTATAGAACATAAACCGCTCATTAAATAACGAAGTATGAAGGAGCGGTTAAAAGTCAATTATATGTTAATCAAACCAGTTGCCGTTTCAAACGTGAAAAATTATAAACTCCATTGAGCTTAATAGATCTGACCTTATATCGTAATCGATAAACTGTGAGCCATGTATGAATAAATTGAGTAATTGTAATAATTTAACATAATTGATGAAAGTTAACTGAAGACAATATTTACTTATTAAGACTCAGGGTCAGGGCTACTCATAAATGATTTAGCGATCAAATAATCTATGGTCATGTATCTATGCGTTGGAAGGAGCTCACTGTGATCTGCACATGGTAACACGTCCATATTTTTTTTAACGAAAAAACAAAACCGTCTTCAAATATCTCGCTCTGTATTCATTTTATAATTGATTTTCAGGATTTCCCTAAGTATCTCCGGAGCCCAAGATCCAATATCAATGTAAATACTTCAATCACCATGAAGGGAAGATCTTGCTTATATGCATTCTATTCAATAAAAATGAAGGAACTTGCAACCGATAACTCCAACAAACAAACGAAACGAATAATATTTAAGAACTTTCGCTTTCATTGCACAATTGTCGAACTGAAATTGGAACGATTAACTAAGACCCGGCTAATGACTAAATATTTATACGCGTAACTGTATTATGCAATGCAGACTGTCAATAGATGTGACAGTCATAATCGATTCTATGACGTTCGTTTAGTGACATAATAATATTTGTGGTATTTGGATCATTGTGGCTAACTTGCAAAAGATATTGTTGCCTTCTGCGAATTCATACGCCGTAAGTCTTAATGGCTGAACATAAGCCTTTATATCGATTGACGTCCATTGAAACGGGTAAAGAAATTACTTAATGATGGTTTCAAGAACTACTGAACAGCGGCCGGTCGAAATAACGCTGATAAATTATTCTTAGCATATTTACAAACACCAATCGAACTAATTCCTGTACGTGGCTTATACCATAATATTTTGAACGAACTCTTAGTGGTTTATGTTCAACACAACAGATTGGGCCCATCACCATCATCATCATTTCAGCCTGTTTGAGTCCACTGCTGAACATAGGCCTCCCCCACAGACTGCTACGAAGCACGATCCTGAGCCACCTCCATCCATCGACTTCCCGCACAATTGCACAGGTTGTCACTCCATCTAGTGGAAAGTTAATACCTATAAAAACTCACCGTCGTATGAATCGGGAATGTACAGCGGCTTCCCGACAAACTTCCCCTTCTTCCCCGACAGCGGCACCGCCTCCACCCTCCTGTGCGCCTCCAGCACTCTGTACAAAAGCACCGACCTATCCTCCCCCTCGATCCTCACCACGCGCGGCAACGAGAACTTATCCACAAACTCTTTCAGCGTCATCACATCACTGCCATCGTCCTCCGGCTCGACGGAGCCGTTACGTCTGCCCAGGAGGAAGTTGTCCGCCCACTCGGGCGCGTTGGGTCTCCGCTCGAGGAAGTCCGGTCTTCGCTCGCTGCTCCTCGGCTTGTATCGCGGCGGCCGGTCCCTCCGCACCAGAGCCTCGTTGGCTTCCGCCAGCCACCTGGTCACCAGGCGCTCCCTCTCGACATCCAAGTACCGGGGCTTGGAGGCGTCGCAGGCGAAGCGGGCGGCGTCGAAGCAGTACTGGGGCGGCGGAGGACGGATCCGCGGGGGGTAGAAGCGGGGCGGGACGTACGGGGGGTGCGGCGGGTGAGGGGGGTGCGGGGCGTAGGCCGGCGGCGTCCTCGGCCCGGAGCCCTCGACTGACGCCGTTCTGAACATCGCTTCAGGCCATTGATGCTACACCCACCACCTGAAACAAGAGATCTAGTTAACATCACAGCTAATTAAATCATTATTTCTCTTCGTGATGAAGTTCGCGACGAAGATATCCACAGTTGATCAAAGATAATCGATATAGCCCAGAAGATTAGTAAGCTGATGTGGCGATGGGCCGACCATATAGCTCCCTAGAACCGATTACCGATGGGGAAAAGTTTCTCGAGGGGAAGCCTCATACTAGCCATCGCAGTGTAGGTCAACCCCCATTAGATGGAGTGACGACCCTTATAAATGTCCGGGAATGCAAGTACTTCCAGATCGTGCTTAATGGCAGTCTGTGGGGGAGGCCTATTTTCAGCAAACGGGCTGAAATTATGATGATGGTGATGATTGAAACGACGTCAACTGACGGCCGGTTATAACAGAACCGCCAGTTTGCGACCTTCTCACACAAAAAAGTTGAAGTCGCGGGCATCAGATAGTTTGTGTTATTAGCTAATGTGCCGTTGCATCGTTAACATTTCGCTCGCATAACAAAGACCGCAATTTATTCAAATTGTACGTTCCCCGCAGACGGGCCGCAGACGTCGACCCGGATCAGCTATCAGATCTGTGAATCCTTAAACAAGTTTAGCCGTTTCGCACGCTCGGATATCACTGGCAAGATACCTAATAGAGCATTACATGAATTATCTAAGAAAATATCTGGATGACTCGGTGCTAAGCAATTGACTCCAACACCGGGACTCGTGAGTTTGAATCCCACACGATCAAATATTTGTGTAGCCTTTAGATCATTGGTGTAAAAAATTATTATATTTATGGGAGATGGCAAGCGGGTCGTGGTCCACCTGATGTTAAGTGATAACCGCAGCCCATGGACATTTGCAATACCCATATGCATACCAAGGTCGCATATGCGTTGCCACCTTTAATTAATGTGGGTGCCGGCTACCTCACTCACCAGACGAAACGCAGAAGTATAGCAGTTCCACTTCACGCTGATCTTCTGTGAAGTCGTGGTACTTCCCCAGACGGACCTGCCCATTCGTGCAACAGCGAAGACTGTTACGTGGCCCTACAAGTGTTAATAATACTGGTATGTTTCCCTTGTCTGAGCTTCGTTGTCTCTGTTGCACGTAGCGCTAACAGAGAGTTAGGCAACGTATGAATGAGATTCGAATAAACTCCACTAAACCGAAATTAGCTAGTTGTCCCTTTCCAAAACCAGTTATTAAATTAGTTTCATAAGAATTACTATAATTCATCTGGTAAGCAAGGGAAGGGAAGTTCAATAGCCTCGATTATCACTTAACATCTGTTAAAATAATAATAATATTTGGGACACGTTCTTTTTTTTTTTTTTACACAACATTCTCTAGTCCCAAACTAAGCAATGCTTGTACTATGGGTACTAGAAAACTGATAGACATACATAAACATACTTTTCTTTGGTAAATAAATACACATTATACATATATAAATAACCAGACACTAGAAAAACACTATGCTCATCACACAATATTTTTCCAGTAGTGGGGATCGAACCCACACCCTCTGGCGCAGAAGGCACTACCGACGGTACACTACCGACACGCCATTCGGGTCGTCAATACATCTCTTTTTCAACTTTTTAGTGCATAGTAATAAAAAAGACGTTGCTTATTAATAATAACAAACAAAGTATATTTATTACTTGCCAGTCACAAATTTTATCAGTTCGAAAATTTTCCAACGCAATCTTAATCAACGTGTGAATATCTTTGTGCTATTGTTTAACGCTGTACTAGTACGTAATGGGATAAACATAATGTCTGCAAACTGACTTAGTGTTTTGCATTTACAGCTATTTTATTTATTAAAATACATTCTTGTAAATTCATTGGAAAGTTGACAACAAGTGTTTAAAAATGTAGCACCCTGTGCATTTATGTGCCGTAATACCTTCCATACTATTTGAGCATAGTCCACCTTTTCGCCCCGTAGCGGATATGACAAATTTACACGGTCCTAGAATGTTTATATAATATGCTTGTCTAATAGTATTGCAGTACTTTTTGATTGATCTAATATTTACAAGATTAAATCTATCTAAAATTACATATTACCTAATAAACCTAATCCACGCGGCATGGTGCCAAGAACGCTAGCTGCATTTCCTCGCTGAATAGTTATGCGAGCCTTTAAGCGAGAAAAGAACCAGATTTCTTGTCAGTTTTGAAGTTATACTGCTTTTTACGCGTTTGGAAAAATTATAAGAGTGAAATTTTTACGATGCGTGCGTACACCGACATGATGATGTCGACAAGAAAAGTTACAAAGAAAACAACTTCACTGTATTACCATGGCAACCAATAACAACTTTTAGACTCGCCTAGAATTACAAGTTATTTATTTAAGCCGTTATCAATTGCATTTAATATCCTTTTAACATACAAAGATATTAAAGAAGAAAGAAGCACAGGGGATTAACATAATATTTTTAGTTATTTTTTTTTTGTTACTATAAAGAACCATTACTTCTTACGTGCGTATATAAGTACGCGCATATTTTTTTACATATGCAACCTGCATTTTAGTGAAGTTTATTTTTCATATATTAACACATTAAAATACAACCAACAATTTCTTCGCCACAGAGTTTTTAGAAACATTACAAACACTAGTTCGCCAGTGTTCAGCCTCTAGAGACATATTAATCTTAACTTATAACCAGTTAACGTGTTCATGACTTTTACGTATTTCGCGTGCAAATATAGATAAGAAAAACCAACAACCGCCAGCCGCATGGACCTCGACGGAACCAAAAACCCGTCTTGCTATCCATAACTTTAATGTTTTTTCCCTTAGGTTCAATGGACTGACGTGACTCGCGAACTTTTTTGCCACTGAGATGTGATGTAATGATTACGTTTTAATTAGAAATACATCAGACATGACTAGAGTCATATCTGATGTATTTCTAATATGTATATATATGGTACATGCAGCCAAAAAAACGCTTAAGAGAAGCTAAGCGTTCTGCGATCTGAGCGTCTCGTATTACATGACGCGAAATTACAATAAATCACTTTTGTACGATATTATATTGCAATTATATTTTAAACACATTTTATTTTGTTTATATGTCTATGAAGAATATATTATATGGTTGAATATGATTCAAATTATCAATCACATTATGTACGAGACATATTTTAAACTCATCCGTTTTTTTTAATGTTTACGAACTATATATTTCATAGCGATACGAAATATATATTTCATAACGGATCATCCGTTATGAAATATATATTTCGTAACGCTTTCGTAACCTTACTGGTATCTGATAACCGCCGCCCATGTCGTGCAATGGCAGTGCATTGCTGATGATATACCCTCGTCGCTTTACTCTCCAGTACGAATCGCAAAAGTATCGATAATTATTTACTTTCCTATTCTTTCAGTAGGTCTCCTCTGAGGCCGTGATCTTTTCTAAGTAATGCTCAGTTCATGTATCAGCTTAAGCCGCTGCGGAGTTTGATATCGATATCTAAGTGAGTGAAGACAATAATTAAGTTTACTTTTTTATTTTTTTATTAGAACTGGCCAGCACTGATTGTAAGTGGCGATGCAGCCTTTGATGGTAAGCGCGCTAGCTCAGTAAAAACCTATAACCTATAACCCCTAACCTTCTTATAAATGAATCAACGAAGCTTTATAGCGGTTACCTAATACTAGCATAGTTTATTTAATAATTTATATTATTGGTTTACAAACAGGTACAAAAGACAAAATTAAAAACATTACTTAAAGTATATATATATATATGTATTGGTTTCTTATACAACTTTGTTAATTCATCTCAAATATATCATGATTCGTAAAATCTATGCTTGGCAAAATCGCAATCGATAATAAAAATTTCCAGCATTTCGTTCAACGTTCTTCAAAAAACGCAAGGGCGACGACCTTTTGCAGGATAATTGGAGTGGATTCAACACACAAGCCTTGGATATAATGGCAACAGCCTGAAAGAGAAAACTACTCGCCATTGTCAGCTTTAGTTAATAGCCCACTGCGAAGCGGGCACTCACATAGTAATGGCCCGACTTTGTCATGATACAATGAGGCCTAGCCGCCTCGTATGGAGGCACCTTTTTTTGGTCACTAAGGCGGCTACACACGGAATGTATACGCGCCACCAAGCGCGGATCCAGTTTATGGGGAGCTTGTATTGGAGCTTTTAAAAAGTTCCACGTAGAACTGTTTGTATCGTGAAATTATGAAGAGAATAGTTTTTACTATAATTGAAAGGCAATGATAAAAAGGAAATAAAAAGGAAAAGACGAATATGAAGAAGTCACTTTAAAATATTGATTTTTCTTTGTGGCATAACTCATATGATTCTCGCAAAAGATTCGCGGGTTCGTGTTGCTTAGTGAAATTGGTAACTGTCAGAAGTCTGATATGGTCTATATTTGGAAATGTTTCTTCTTGTTTAATCAACACGACTTATCTGAACCTCCAATATAAGTATTAATTTAAAAAAGGGGTGGAAAATTGTTTTCATTAAGCATTTTTCTATAATTATTTTTTATTTGAAGTGCTAGTTTGCACTCAAGATAAAAATTAAATGTTAGTTTAATTCACAAATTCAAGAAAGATCTTGTTTCGACGGATTCTGGTAGCATTCTATTATCCAGTCAAGTTTTGAATGCCGTATATTGTATTGTGTTATATATTGTCGTGTATGAATTTTTGTTTCCTCTAAAGAGGCTTTTCTAACAAACATCTATATACCAAGATATATTGCATAAAAATGATCAAAACGTAAATAAATATCGTCAAGCTCACAACTGCAAGTTCACGAAAGAAATTCACTCGGAACAAAACACGCGTAGTGTGCGCAGAGCCTTAAGAACGCAAGTAGCACGTAGCACCATTAAAACTAATGTCTGAATATTGACGTCCCCTTTAATCAAGCCTCGGCGTTCATTATAAATTTATATGCCAGCCAT